ACATCACTAAAGAGAAGCTGACAAGGGCAATAGTCTGCTCTGACAGCAGAGATCAAGATGCAATCAAACTGAATTACTGAGAGTGCTAACAGGGCTGTTACACAACCCTGTAATCTGTTTCAATGATAGAAAATCAACTACAGATAGAAATCACACATGAAAAAACATCTCCCGAAGAATTAAGAACATCATTTACTTTGTATAACTGTGATTTGGTCATTTATCAAAATTATTTAATATGATCATCATGTTTGTTTTTTCCCCACAACTTAAACGTCACTACAGCCACAGTTTCAAACCACAGACAATTTATGATGTACAGCAACGAAATATTCGATTATGTTTCTACGTTTTTTTTCCGCAAACTGAGAATGATTTTCTCCATAGAAACCTGTCAAAAGTCAGTTGGTTTTTTTTATCTACAGTGAAAGTTTTCATTCTGTTCATCTTTCTTTAATCTTATCTGGCAGCGTTCTGCAGTTTCACTGTGTATTGATCTTTCGGCTTATCTGCAACTATTTTGCATTTGCTCCCCATTTATCTCTCTACTTTCTCTTTATAGAGGCATATTTCTAAGCTGTCCTTGCCACCAGAGGACTTCATTTATTGTAAACAGTTTCCCTTGCAGCAACATCATTTTGATGTGGGAGAATATAAACATCTGATTTTGTTGATGTGTTTTTCTGTGAAAACTGGCAAAAACCAAAATAATGTACTCTGACAAAACAACATTGTCAATAAATTACTGGAAAGGTACACTGTACATTGAAAATATATGTAACAATAAAATATATAGTTAGTAGCTTCTCTGTATCAACATAAAACATGCAGTATTACAATACTAAGCTAAAGCTGTACAATAATTAATCCATAAATGGTAAACAAAGGACAGCTTAAGTATACAGTCTTCACTAGGGCTGTCTCGAATACCATTTTGGGCTTCGAAGGTTCAGTGAGAATGACCCGCGAGAGTCGAAGCTTTGAAGGGGTGGAGTGGGAGGGGGCAACTCTGGTCCGGAGTTCATATAAGATATATATGCGCTCTGAAGGGGTAGATGAGACAGAGATGCAGAGCAAACTACTTTAATCTGCTCAGTCTTCAGTCGCATACTGATTTAGACACAGATTACCGTGGCAACGGTTGAAGCTTCGAAGCATTCGGGTCAGCCCTAGTCGTCACATACTTCCTCACTGCCTCCTGCTTGACACTTACATGAGGTGTGTGGAGTCGGGTGTCCAGTCGGGTCGATATTTGGCTCCCATGTCCAGAGCCTTTTCCCTCAGCTCCCCTCTGAAGGGGTTTTGGAAGCCACTGAGGACAAACACCACACCCTCCATCATCCGTTTGAATGGGACTGTCTGCATGTTCTCGGATTTAGCTTTCTGTTGTTTGGGTTTAGGTTCGGGTTTGGACAGGGACTCCCGCTTCTTGTCAGCAGACTTTTGTGCCGGGGAAGCTGGAGGGACAATTGTAAAAGTCAAGGGAGTTGTCCAGGTAAAGAAATATAATGCGTTTTTCAGACACTAAAGCGAGTTACCTTTCGCAGTGCTGGGGCTCGATGTGCTGGCTGGGCTCGGCCTTTGTTTGGGGGTCACAGCTTTGCCCTCAGGTGAGCCAGATGGGCTTATTTTCTTCGAGGGTGGAGGGCCAGAGGCAGACTGTCGCTCTTTGCTGAACTCAAATTTTCTTTTTGCTGGTGGCTATGAGGAAACAATTAATGTGAGTAACTAAAATGTTGGAACCTTTTCTGAATGTAAAATATAAAATGCGCCTGTATGTTATAAGACAGGTGTGCATGAAGAGATACAGTTGCATGATGAGTGAAAGAAAGTAGACTCCTACAAACTGTCTACACTTCCATTTCATTTAATGCCTGAAGGTCATCTGACAAATAAAATTGTACAGAGTAGGGCCACACTCACTATGCAAAAACAATCAAAAAAAGCAAATTTGTAGATTATTATAGCCTTTATAAAAAAGGTTGAGAAACAATTACAGCAGAAAATTGGAAATAGAACTGCAATGACTGGGATAGCTTCTTCGACTACTTTCCTATGCATAGAGATGTATTTGTGCAGATCACCCAAATAGAACTTTTTGTATTTATCTTTTCATTTCAAAAGTCAAACCGACAAAGTGTTGAAAGGCGTTCTATTCTATTCTAAAGTGTGAAAAAGCTAAACCATTCAATAAATTGGATTTTACCAACTAAGGAAATGTTTTTTGAAAAACAAGGAGAGGAAAGTAATGAGTATATTTTTATACTGAAATGTATCCATGCATCTTTCATATACATCCAGGGGTTTTTCAGTTTGTGGTGAAGTGAGTCTGCATAAAAACGTGTCAACACATAGATTTTTAACCTGAAGAAAACATTGGAACACATTCCTTACTTATTATTCAGATGCTGACTATTTTTTGGCAAAAGAGGTGTTGAATATGTCAGACAACTTTTGGTTTACCTGTGCTTGAGTTATTACTGTACTGATAGTGAGATTATCATTTGAAAGCTTGATTAAGATCTCAAAAACTGTGATGTTAATGTGAAGAAAGAGTGATCTAAATACACATCAGTTATTAGGTCAAAAGCTTGATTTTGTGACATGATGTGATAATTAAAACTCACAATAAGTTCAGATCCCTTCCTTCTACTACAAGCTTTATTGCCCGTTTCATGCTCTTTATGCGTTTCTGATTTCTAAGTGCTCATTATGGGGACAAATGTTTGATGGCTGTCCTGCAGTAAAAAAAAATTAAAAAATGATGGCGATGTTTAGTACCTGAGGTGAGGCAGAGCTGGAGGAGGAAGCTTGGCCTGATGAGTGGGAGCTGCCACCAGTCTGCAGAGCAGCAGCAGCATAACTCAACTTCTGACTCTGAGGAGACTCTTAAGAGAGAAAAGGGCAGAGAGACTTTGAGGGAACAAAGTGGCTTGATAATAAAGAAATAATCTCTTCCCTTTTGTCTCCTGGCACACTTAAGTAGCTTTCAATACAGCCTAATGGCATTTTTAATTATTCTATGTGATTAGTATTGTTACAAGGACCTGAAAGAATTTAATTGAGCTTCAGCAGCCGGTAAATATAGATAAATGGATTTACCTTTGAGTGTAGTGCTGGACTTCGTTGCATTGTCCCGACTGAAGAAGAGACTGCCGGGCTGAAGGCTGGGCCCGGATGAAGGAGACTCATCCTTCACCCTGAACTGTCCCAGCTTTGTCAGTTTCTGACAGGAGAGAAAAAAAGAGAAGTTTAGCACCAAAAGAGAAGATAGAGGGATTGACTGAAGTGCACTTTCTCTTAATATAGCAAAAAGGTTTCAACTTGACAGATAAATTCACAACTATAAAGTTGTGTAGTTCACAGGAGAGATTAAGGAGCTACACGAAACACTGCAGTGAAATGCTGTGTCATGTTTTAGTGCTCAATGAAAACAAAAATTATAAATACTACATGTGATACTACATCTTCATGTCAAAGTAAAGCAGTGCTGATTACAGTGCAGCAGCATGTTTGATCTTAAAGTAACATGCTCACAAAGACCATCTTCTTGGAATACTGAATTTTATGCTGATACTAACATGAAAGGATAACACTACTTATTTGTGTACTGCTGGTCTGTGTGGTTTCTCCAACTGGGTTGTTTCATAAATGGTGGTAACAACCTTATGTGAAGATGTCAACAATAGGGCGGCTTGGTATTGAACCTCAACCCTTTTTGGGTATTGACAAAAATGTGAAGTAGCACAAACTCCAACAGTCCAAAGTATAGAAAGCTTGCATCAAATGTCTGGCCAGATTATCAATACCAAGCCCTAGACAACAATATGCTCGTGTTCTCAAGAGAAAAGATTACAAGGCTCATCATCTATAGGCAACTTACCGGGGAGGTTGTTGGAGGATCATTTTTGTCAGGCGGTGAATGAAACTTAACAAAGGCCAGTCCGTATGCTATGTTCTAGTAGGAGTAGAAACACACAAAATCATCTTGGATTTAATTTCACAAGTAGCAATGGATCTATACAGAAGTGTGGCATTCACTTAAAAAAATATATAGATTTTCCCTGTTTTTATTCTCATAATTCTGAGATAATTCTTATCTAATACAAAAAAATCCTGGTGTGTATTTTTGAATTAACAAGATACCTCCAGCAGGCACTCAAACACCCTGAGAATAAACCCAAACACCCTAACACTGGGTCTCCATCGGGCCCACGCAGGGCTCTGTGTCCCCTAGCCTTCAACCTCTGGTACTCCACTGGAGAAGCAGCGGGAGGGAGGTGTGGCCTGTGTGCGTTTTACTTTTTGATTCTGTTGACTAAGAGTTAATGGGATAATACATTAGCTGACACTCTATTTATATTAACTGATTGGGCCCTTACCTTGCTGTATGGCTGGCTACACACAATTTTCACTCTGTCCCACTTCTCCTGTGCTGTGCTCTTCTGCAGTTGGTTGGGCCCAAAGAAACGCACCCGGCTCATGTTGGTGCCATTACGGCTCTCCGTGGGGGACATGAAGGAAGACGTGACCAAAAGAACCTAAAACAGAGAGAGAGAGAGAGAGGTTTACATCATCATGATACAGGGAAAAAATATGGAGTAATTACTAATTACAATAAGTAGGAGGTGATCTACTTTGTGCTTTATTTGGTTTGCAAGAATACCTCATAGTCCTGATCTCTGACAGCTGAAGAATTCCCCACCAACACCTCGATGAAAGCTGATCCTTCATTTCCAATATCGATGCTGTGCACCTGCTCCTCCTTCTCAAACTGAGTGAAAAAAAAAACAGCACAGGACAAGCACGAGTTTACACAAGAGGGAAACTCAAAAGATCTAAAAGATGTAGAATCAGAATCAGAAATACTTTATTGATCCCTGGGGGGAAATTTGTTTAGCAGAGCCTACTAAAAATGACATTTTTATGCCACATTAATACATAAATACAAGGACATATGTGGACACAGACCGACTGTTTCATACTAACACTGTAGAATAATGTTATATACACTTTACTAATCAAAATTACAAGTAGGTTACTATTACTTTACTATTTAAAGATAATCAAACAAAACATAACAAAGCTGCAAATCCTTTATAAAAAAAGTGATTTAAAGCATGATACTTCTTTTTATTGTTTAAAAGCTGACAAGCAGGGACGGTTGCTCTTAGTTGAAAAAAATCAGGCAGAGGTCTAACATCTAAAATCTCTGTCTTCTGCCTAATGCC